ATTCTCTTTGATATGTACTTAAATAGATGCTTAAAATAGGTCCTGGATACAACCCCCAGCTGGCTTTTCTCTTTCATCTCAATTCTTCCACTAAATCTTGATCATATAGATTGCTTTATTCCTTAGCTATTTTACATCTATGTTAATTACGTCAGGCTCCTACCTAATAAGATATGATTAGGCTTAATTTCATATTCGCCTTCAGATATCTGTTGTTCCACATAAAAAAACCCTCTTCCTCAGCACATATACATAAAGTACATTAGAATGTTTTTGACATTTGATAATCTATAAATAGATCTTTCAATCCTTTTAATCACTTCAAATGTTCAATGTATCTGATACTTTAACTTATTGTCTCAGATTGATTTCTAGAAAATAAAATTATCAATCTAAAATTTGACTGATTTATGCTTTTGCATCATAAATATTTCTTATGTTTGTTATGAGTATTTCTAATCTTCTCTGATCAATCTAATTTCTTTGTAGCACTGTCTATGAACTTAAGACCCATCAATCTATTTTTCCTACTTCTGTCCAAGCCAATGGAGTTCTGACCATCTCCCAATAAAAGCTTTTATATGACGATTCCAAAGCTTGCTTGAAAACTTTTTAAGCAAACTTGATTAGTAATTACATTGATCTTCCAGCTTTCCTCCAAAATCTGGCACACTATAATCTTAGAGCAAATCTTTTCAATATTGAATGAACTGCTCAGACTGTCCCAAACATTTGGGGATGAAATGATGTATTGAATTTTAATTTTATCTCCAAACTTTCCTAAACAATTTTTAGAAACATGAAGGTAAATTAGTCATCTCAATTAAAAATATGCCTTATGAATCCATGCAATCTAACAATTATTTCACGATTACAATTGAGCTAATTTTGCAACATGATAAATTCCTTACAGGCAAAAAATTGAATTTTGGACTTTATCATTGATTTTACACCAATAACCAGAACTGCACATACTCTTCCTAGAATAGGGAAAATCCCATAGTTAATTTCCCTTCTGTTATCAAAATAGGTTTATTGGTTAGGGTTCTAGACTAATTCCAAAACTGATCTTGACTACAAATTCTAATCAGCCAGCCTGACGCATTTAATATACAGGTCAACAACTCCAACTTTAATCCAAGGCTGCAGCATCTCGAAATGATCCGAGCTGACTCGTTAGCCACGTTTTGTTAAAAAAAATTAATTATAGCTTCTTAATATGAATTTATGATATTTGAAAAAAAAAAGAACAATGACGCACATAGTAAATAATTTAAGGAAAAATGATATTAACAGTCATTTTGGGTCAAATAATGAGTTTGTGTTTAATCTTGAACTTGACTTCCATTTAATAAACAATTTAGGAAATCCAACCAAACCCAAGCTTTATTAAATGGGCCACTATAACCCAATTTATTTTTAGGCTGGGTTTGGGATCTGATTGGTTGTTTAGGTCATTTATTGAACAGCTCTTATTATTTTCCTTACATTTCACTCAAGAATAACAAGATGCAAAGACTGCTTGGCGTCTTATGTTCAAACCTTACCTTTGAACAAGTTTCACATCTTGAAACAATTTTTGCTAGTATCCTGGTTCAATCCTGGCCAAAGACATCGCTTCAATTCAATAGTTATATCTTACTATTTTCTACCTGAATGATGTATCCAAATACTAGGCTTCATATAAATTGGATCTTCCCCAAGTCCTCTATTAACAAGGACCCATAGTTTTACTGCCATATACATATATTCCCATGATCATTAATTTGTAATCCAGTCTTCCTCCAAGCTAAATTGTATATATATATATATATATATATATATAAGCATATCATGTCATGGTGAATGTTATAATGTGGGAGATACTAAAGTGCACTACAAGTTCTGTTATACATGTGCAAATTAATGTTATATTTTGCTTATGTTTTTAGCCCCATCTTCTATGTGCAAATGTGTTAGAATTTATAGCCCCATATGCTTTAAGTAGGTGTGGGAGGTTCATGAAAATTGTTAGTGAAATGGAGTTAAAAGATATTTTGTTAACAAGTATACTTTGATGCCTTTATGAAAGTGTAAATGATATTTTGCTAATAAGTGCACGTTGACATATATGAAAGTGTAAGTAAAGGTGCATTTCATAAATCATATGTTGCATATTAGGTTAAATATAATAAGTTCAAGTGTAAATAATATTTTGTTAACAAGTATACTCTAATGCTTTTGTCAAAAATATAAATAATATTATGTGAACAAGTGCACTCTGACACCTATGTGAAAGCGTAAGGAACCATTTTATAAACCATATGTTGTATATTCTATTATATAAAATAAATTCAAGTGCAAATGACATATTGTTAACAAGTATAATCTAATATTTGTGAAAATGTAAATGATATTCTATTAATAAGTGCACTCTAACATATATGTAAAAGCGTAAGTAAAGATACATGTTAATCTTCATAATATTTAAGCTCAAGTAATAAGTTATAAGAAAATATTTATGATGCATAATCAAGTGTAAAATATATTCATGTTATTATTCTAATAATGCAAACCTTTTTTTTTCTAATAATGCAAAACAATAAGTGTTAATAATGTCTTCATTTATATTTCCTAAGAGTAAGCTATTTTATATTATTTATCAAATGTTTTTTAAATTTTTTTATTTGTATAAGTATTCTACAAATAAGGATATTGACTTTTGTAATTTAAAAAAAAAAAAAAAAAAAAAAACACCCAAATTCAGCTAAGCAAATGTATTTTGTTAGTCCAATCTTTATGCTTTGATGTCTAGAACAAAATTTGTGTTTATTGATTATATATAATTCTTTTTAAAATGAAATCGAGATAATTTTTTTTATATAAGTATTTCATATTATTTAGTTGACTTTGATATGTTCTGTATTATAAATGAAATAGGCTTAGATTTTAATTCTTCAATCAAATTTTGAGGCATAACAAAATAATATCCAAGTGAATGTTTGAAAGAATTAAATCATAACCAAAATTTAAATTGTAACAAATGGGTTCGCTTTTTTCAAGTGCTGAAAAAGATGAGTAATTTAAGAAAAAGAATCAAATTTGTCTGGAGAGAACCTTTCTTGATTTCTCTCTTTTTTGTTTTTCTAATGATAGTAACTTTCATTAGATAGAATGAAAAATAACATAAAATTAAACCATCTATAGCTAGAACTTTTATTTGGTCCGGTGAACGTACGCTCCTCTACGTTCGGCCACCAATATTTTAACGACACGTAGGATGAAGAAAAGTCGCCGACCCGACCCACTGTTTTTTTGGTTCTAGCGCGTGCTTTTTTTTAAATCCTTGACGAGCCGACAACATCCCATCACCTAAGATAACCGTCTTTTCCTCTTTCGCACGTTTCTTCCGCAAATACGGTTGAGACAAAAAAATTGCATAAGTGAACAGTGCAACACCAATATTGGCATTATACTATTCACCCGCTATCGATTAACAATTTTTTTGTCGTTCGAATGATGCAAACCAGCTACACCTTACAGTCATTTGGAGTTCAACTGCAGACGCCCTAAGAGCATCTTCAACCAAAAAACCCATTTGATGTGTGCAATAATACACCAATATGCAATAACTTATCTATAATTGAACCTTATTTTCTAACACCAAAAAGAAAATATTCTTAGAATATTCTTTCTCATTGTTAAAATTTTAAGATTATAACCAATTTTTTGAATTAAAAAAAAGCCATATAGCAGGTGAACATTGCAATATTGACGGGTTAACAATGCGATATTGGAGGGTGAACAGAACAACACCAATATCACACTGTTCACCTGCAAGCAAATAGCAAAAGGTTTGGCTTTCGGCTGGAACTATCAAACAACGTCATACACATATTTGACGTTCGATTGAAGATGCCCTAACAAACAAAAAAAAAAAAGGATTTTTACAGCCATACCACTTTATACTACCTAATTTACATATTTAACACCTAAAACATAAATATTTCATTTACACCACCCTAACACAAATCAAACCTCAAATATACCACTCCGTCCCTTATCTAGCTCACGACGTTATCCCCGAAATCGCGAGCTCTTCCCTTCCCGTGCTCCGCTGCATCCGCTCCAACCTACTCGGTAGTTCAAAGTGATCCAGTGTGTTCGCGGAAGAAGGCGTTTCTCTCGTGACGTCGGATTGCATCGTCTTTGCATCTGCTCCGTAGCTTGGGTTCCTTGCCGCATTTCGTTGTTTTGCTTTTTATGGTCGTTGTCGTCTTGACTTTTTATTTCTTTCAAAATCTGTTGGACATTGTTGATAAAGCAAGCATCAACATGGATGAAGTTTATTGTGACTGTATTTTACAGAAATCTGCTCGGTATTTCGGTCGCCGGCTTTCTGCACAAAATGGATGAAGTTTTTTACAGAATTTTATTTCAGAATTTTCCAAAATTAGTTTTTTTTTTCACTGTACTTTACAAAATCTGCTTTAGGTTTATTTTACAGGATTTTTTTTTCTGTTTATACAAAATCCAAAACCTCAAACAAAAAACAAAAATTCATACAAAAACCGAGAAGGAGATGCATTTATAAGCCCAGAATCATTTATAAACTTGATTTACCTGCATTACTGGGAATGGATGCAAGATACACTTTCCTCACTTTCTGGGTGGTTCACCCACCGACAGCAAGTTTGCTCGTCCGCGGGAGAAGATATCAGAGAACAAGCTGATTTGCTCGTCCGCGGGAGAGAGAGCGCGCACGTTGCTGGACCGCGAGAACAGTGAAAACACCAAACAGAACAGAACAAGCGCGAGAAAGAGCAATGTCAGGATAACGTCATGACCGGATATGTAACGGAGTGGTATATTTGAGGTTTGATTTGTGTTAGGGTGGTGTAAATGAAATATTTATGTTTTAGGTGTTAAATATGTAAATTAGGTAGTATAAAGTGGTATGGCTGTAAAAACCCCAAAAAAAAATGATAACCATCACATCAGTACTTGTACACTGAACCCAATTTCAAACCAGAAACAATCAAATTTCTAGATTTAACATCCAAATATTTCACCAGCAACCAAGCAGACAGACATTATAAGATAGAAAGAAAAGCAGAGAGTATTACCAGTCACATCGCACTCAGCACATCGAAATAAATAAGATAACAACATATATCCAATTCTCCAAAAACCTTAATCCATCAATGGCAGTACAAGATTTAAATATCGTGATGCGCTTCCTCGTCATCCTCGTACTCAATTTCCTCATCAGCAGTGGCATCCTGGTATTGCTGATACTCAGAAACAAGATCATTCATGTTGCTCTCAGCCTCAGTAAACTCCATCTCATCCATGCCCTCACCTGTATACCAATGCAAGAAAGCCTTTCTCCTGAACATGGCAGTGAACTGCTCACTTACCCTTCTGAACATCTCCTGTATTGATGTTGAATTACCAATGAATGTGGAGGCCATGGACAGGCCTCGGGGCGGGATGTCGCAGACGCTCGACTTCACATTATTCGGTATCCATTCGACGAAGTAGGACGAGTTCTTGTTCTGGACATTGATCATCTGCTCATCGACCTCTTTGGTGCTCATTTTGCCGCGGAACATGGCGGAGGCAGTGAGGTATCGGCCGTGGCGAGGATCGGCGGCGCACATCATGTTCTTCGCATCCCACATCTGCTGGGTTAGCTCAGGAACGGTGAGGGCTCGGTACTGCTGAGATCCACGAGAGGTGAGGGGGGCGAAGCCGACCATAAAGAAATGGAGACGAGGAAATGGAATTAAGTTCACGGCTAGCTTTCTTAGATCAGAGTTTAGCTGCCCGGGGAATCTGAGGCAGCATGTAACTCCACTCATGGTTGCAGAGATTAGGTGATTCAGGTCCCCAACTGTTCGTAGGTAGGAAGGAAACGTGAGAAAAGATAGCAAGATCAAATAACATATAATGTGGGAATTAATAATAACGTGAATATCATGAAGTAAAAAAACATGTTAAAATCAAACTACTCTTTAGGTGAATGCTTGTAATGTTCAATTTCAATTTTTTTAAAAGCTTCATGTTAGATTTCATTTGGGACAGCTTTTTTATTACTTTATAAAACAACTTTTTAATATAAAAATTCTTTCTTGAACTAAACATTTGTGCTAGAAAACTAATTTAAAAAATAGTAAGAAAGCTATTACAAACAAAGCATTAGACTTGAAAAATAAAGAATGAATAAACAGACACAAAATGACTCCAAAATCAAATTTATAAAAGCCTTTACAAAAAACTGCAGAGGCCACAAGCAAGCCCTTAGACATGCTGCATGGGCCAAATTGCAAAATCTAGTGTCCATTTGAGATTGAGATCACTGAAGCTATTTCTAAAAATAATCAAGCGTTATAACAAAAATATATCAGTTGAAAATTGTTGCATATATTATAATTTTTTACTAAAAAAAAAGATAACTTTTTTCTTCTTCACCTACCACAACCTTACAAATCTAATTATAAAAAGATACTTACCACCAAAGAAATTTATAACAGAAAAAATATATAATTAAATAGAATTGTAAAACAAAGCGGCAAATAAAGATGCTCCAATCGGACCCCTAATGAATAAGAAAGCAAAATTGTCCATGCAGAACGCATTTTAAAAAAATTTATAAAAAACATGAGAGAAAAAAGGAATTCAAGAAAGAATGCTCACAAGAAAGTAGTTTCATTCAATTATAAAAGAAAAAGTTAAGGAATTTAAAACTGAAATGTATAAACAAATGTAGATCTACTGCAGATTTATGATGCTTACAACTAGGAGTGGTCAGCTTCAGAGTACGGAAGCAGATATCATAGAGGGCCTCATTGTCAAGAACCATGCACTCATCGGCGTTCTCCACCAGCTGGTGCACAGAAAGAGTTGCATTATAGGGTTCGACGACTGTATCGGAAACCTTAGGGGACGGGAAGACAGAGAAGGTAAGCATCATCCTATCAGGATACTCCTCCCTGATTTTAGAAATCAACAGAGTGCCCATCCCAGATCCAGTTCCTCCACCAAGTGAATGGCATACTTGAAAACCTAATCACACGAAAAAAAGTGTAATATAGCAGATTACGAAAACAGAAAATGAAATATAAACTAAAGTTATCCAAAATTCAATAATGCAAAAACAAACAAACAAAATTTGAAATTAATCAGGGCTGGTGGAATCGGAGAAATAAGGAGCAAATTGTGGAGCTTGACTGATTAAAATAGATATGAGCACGAAACACAAAAATACAAAGTGGATAAAACTTGGAATTAGGCAAAACGAAATTAGATCGACATCCGACATAAGCCGAATTGTTCGACTGCAAGATTAAATTTCATGACGAGCATATTAAGACGTAATAAGAAACAAAAACATTTCAGATCCCAACTTAACATTTAAAAGGAAAACAAATTATTCCATGAAAAAACTCATATCCTGACGCTCTTTTTTTTTTCTTCTAGCCACAAAGGCTCAGCAATTATGCACACATGACAAGCGCATTAGTGTTCTCCAAAATTTGAGTCGCAGATCAGACGTTGTCACAACATAACCTTGTTCCAATGTAATGTTTGAGCAAGGAAAACAATACCTTGAAGACAGTCGCAGTTCTCCGCCTCCTTCCTCACAACATCAAGAACAGAATCTATTAGCTCGGCGCCCTCAGTGTAATGACCCTTGGCCCAGTTGTTTCCCGCGCCAGACTGCCCAAACACGAAATTGTCAGGGCGGAAGATCTGGCCATAAGGCCCGGTCCTCACACTGTCCATGGTTCCAGGCTCCAGATCCATCAGAACCGCCCTAGGAACGAATCTTCCACAAGACGCCTCGTTGTAGTAGACGTTAACCCTCTCCAACTGCAGATCGGACGTACCAGTGTACCTCCCGGTGGGATCGATACCGTGCTCATCGCACACCACCTCCCAAAACTTAGATCCGATCTGGTTACCGCATTGTCCACCCTGCACGTGAAGGATTTCTCTCATCTTCCTCCTTTATGTACCTCCTCTTCAGATTCCAACTGAACAAAGAACGTTTTGCGAATCAGAACAATTAAAATTTCCCAAATCACAAACAATGGTCGAAGATCACCGATTCTAGAGAAGAAAGAAGAGGCGAATAGAATAACAGCTCGAGTTAGGGTACCGGCAAGCTCACCGTCGATGACCGGCGACAGAATGCGAGGGAGTCTGGCTCTGATCAGTGAGAAGCCCTAGACGGTCGATTTATATAAGCGTATAAGCGTGTGAAGGATCGGACGGCTGGTGTGGCTTCCCTCCAAATCTATTTTTTTCTTGGTTAGGTGATGCCATCGAAGCGAGGAATCGGACGGCCAGTGGGCCCTGACGGCCCAGAGCGGAGATGGCTCCATTTGAATTTTTTTGAAATAAAAATAGACTAAAATGTCGAAATTACCCCCATTGATTCTTTGGAAATATCGAGGATGTACCGTAATGATTCGGCCAAGAAAGCGACAATATGGTAATTAGTAAATGGCCACCGCGACTCGTTGACGGGTGAAACGGCGGATCGACCCGTATATCCGACAAACTTTGTTGAATTCTTCTTAAGAATTCTAAATCTCTTTTTGCTTATGAGATTTAGAATTTTATTTCATAGGTCTTCAGTTTTTTTCTGCTCTTTCCTTTACTTGTATTTTTTTCATATCAATGAATGGGCTCTGCCCCAAAATTTCCCAAAAAAACTTTGTTGAATTTTGATATTATTTAATTTATTTTTTTAGAACAAACAAAATATAAATTTTAATTATTTATTTATATATTATATTGATCTTTAAATAAATTCAAAAGTCCGAATGTTAACAAAATTTTGATCACAGGTCTTAAGAAACGCCATAGAACTTTTTCAAATAAATATTCTAATCAATTATAAATGTATTAAAATTTTATGTGAGCTTTTTAAGATAATTCAATTAAAATAATAAAAATATTATGTTTTTGTTTGAATTTTGTAATGACGTACTTAAAAACATGGAGATATAATATAATTTTTTATTAAAAAAATAGGCAGTATATTATTTTTATTGTCAAATTGGAATTTGAAGTATTTGATTTCACTGCATTGAAATTAATTGGTGATTTTTAAGTGAGGAAAAATAAAAATGATAGAATTTTTAAAAATATATATATTTGCTACATTTTATTTTTTAATTGGAAGGGGATGAAAGAGAATAGTGTAATTGAATTGTGCAGCAATATTTGATTGAATTGTAATGATATTTAATAGTTAGATGCATGTAAAAGTTATCATTTATGTAGGATAAAGAATGTTATGTCATGGCAAAGCAATTTTTTCTTTCCCCTAACTTGGAGCCTTAGGCTTCGTTTGGGACGGCTACAGTTGTCGGTAAAGCAAGTTGTGAAGTTGTTGTCCAAAAAGCTACTTTATAAAGTTGCTGTACAAAAATCAATAAAATCTGTTTGGGTAGTACAACTGCCGAGCTGCTGTGTAACAATAAATTATCTTGATACCCTTCTATATATTAGCATGAAATTTTTTTTATTAAATATAAATAGTTTTAAATTTATATGATAACAAACTAATAATTCTAAATTCAAATCAAATATTTATCTTAATTTTTTTTAAGTTCATATATCAAAATATTATAAATTTTTGACTTAAATTTTTATATCATACTTCCAAATAATTTGTTCAGATTTTAGATTCTCATTTACTTTATAATAAACCATTTTTTCATATGTTTTTTAAAAAATTATATCAAGAAAATACTTAAATAGAATTTGTGTGCATCAATTTTTTTATGAAATATGCATAGCTGCTGCTGCTGCTCCCCTTCTCACTCTCGCCGGTGCAAAGAAAACCCCTCCCATACAGCCGTATAACTTCAAGCGCCTCCAGCCTCGGCTGCCCAACCTCAATAGTTCCGTCGAGCATAGCCGCCACTACGTCCATCGTCGGCCGCATCGTCGGCTCTTCATGCAGGAAGCACAGCGCAATCCTCACCACTCTCCCAATTCCTCCTCCGTCGCCTTCCCCTCTAGCCTCGGATCCGCCAGCTCCAAATACCTCCCCTTCTCGTGCTTTTCCAGATCCCATTTCAAATGCTTGACTGGGGATCACAAAAGCAAGCAGGGGCCAACCACTCCTTTTCCTGATCTGGTTATAATCCAACCACCCAAGGAGGAAGAAGAGTATGGAAGACCTCCATCATTGACTATGCCTCCTGAGATTGAAGAACATGCTTAGATTTTTGAAGTGCTTTCCTTTTTCTCTGCAGCTTCGAGCAGTATATCGCAAGCCCTTGTCGTCGTCTCCACTCAGGCAGATTTTCCTCATCGCCTCTTTTTCCGAAATTATTCTTTCCATCAATTCATCGAAATACCGATCGAGCGGTCTTGTGCGGAGAAATGGATGAAGTGCCGAACTTCACGAGGAAGAAGAAGATACGGTGTATTTTGCAAGGCATTTGCGTCTTTCTCTTATCCTCAAACAGCGGAAAGTAGCAAAAGCAGGAGTCTACTTCAGGACGAAAAAAGTAGCCGTGGGATGCAAAAAGTTTGAGAACGGAGCACGACCTCGTCTCCCCAAACCCCAAGTCGGTTGCGTTTCTTACCGTATAGCAGCGAATACGACGTTCCAAACGCACCCTTAGTTTAACTTAGAGGTGTAAATGAGTGGAGTTGGAGCTTGTTAATTTGAGCTTGAGTATGTTTGACAATATCAAAGCTTATTCTAGTATTTATAGTAGTGCTAAAGCTCAATTCGTTTAAAATTAACGAATATTTGAGTTTGGCTTGAGCATGATTCGTATATTAATCAGCAAGTCTTATTGAGCCTAGTATTAGCAATAACATCAAGTAGGTTATTAGTTATTTGAACAAGGCTTTACTAAGCATATTAATTGATACGTCATCAAAATTCATCTTAATCAAGCACAAATCTTGAGGCATATTTAATTAAAAACCTCTAAAATTAAAAGTGGATCCATCTAAACTCCAATTTCAACAAACTTATAATTAAATTGAATGTCTCAGTGAGACGAACCCAACGATACCAAAATCGGTCCAATCTGAGCCCAAAATGGGCCCAAATCAAGAGACTGAAGCATATTTGGATGCTTCAAATCATAAATTAGATGATCAAATGATCTCTAAATATGCCGTGCTTATAGTCAAATTTGGCGGCTCGACGAGAAGAATCAAAGAGCTCAATATTACTAAATTTATGCATCATTAAGGCTTTTAAATGCTAAATGAACACTCTATAATTGAAGGAATTGATATGAACCATTGGATGGAGCACTCTGAATTTTCCCTTAATCCTCTTCATATTACGAAGCATATCAACCTTAAAAATCTATAAATAAACTTTCACTTCCCACATGAAAGGAGTGCTTGACTTTTGGAGACTTAGACCCTGGGTTAGAGACTAAAGAGAGGCTTGAAACATCCCCGGGCTCCACTGCCGGCAAATTATTGCCATTAGGCCACCCAACAGGAACTCTGACTGACATCACTGTCAGAAATGTACTTAATGTTTTTTAAATTGAGCCAACAACTTCGCCCAAAGAAGAGCATCAATTGTAATCAACAACAAAAACTAGTGGATTTATTTCAACTGAACAATAGCCTATAATTTTTCTTCCTTTTCAAGAATTTTCATGTAAAATTTATGGTGTCTCTTACGACTCTTGCACCTCTCTCTTTCTCTATCTATCTATCTATCTATCTATATGTGTGATGAATTTTCATTTAAGCTAAGATGCTAAGCTCTTAATCTCTCTATCGTCATGAATGTTCCAGAATACAACAATAATGAACAACCTATTGAGCTTAGAAACTCAATTAATCTTATTGAATGAAATATAAAATAAACAAACATTTTAATGAACATAAATAAATAGCTAGTGTTCATGAATAGAAATAATGTAGTATAGAAAGGAATAAGACTCTCATATAATCATATATTAACAAAAAACTTAATATTGTCATAAATGAACATACTATCAAATCTTAATAAAGATTCTTAACAAGCATATTCATAAGTTTTAAATGATACTATTATGATTAGAACACAAAGTTGTTTATAAGTTGTTAATATATCAATCGAGCATTTCTCAAATTGTTTAGTTTGTTTAAGTAGTTTATTTTGCTAGCATGAACAAGCTCTAACTATGCCATGCCCCAAGTAATTTGTTGAGCGTTTTGATTCATTTGCAACCTTAATTTTACTTATGTTAGTTTAAATAATAATTTCATTTATTTTATTTTTTATTTGAGAAAAAGTTCTTAAATTCTCCCAAAAGAAGCATTAAATTAATTTAAATAAAGATTAGTATGTCACTTTTCTTATAGTAACTAAATGTGTAATTTCAATCAAAAAATAACCACAAGCCTCTCATGTGCTTGATTCTTTTTGAAAATATTTATAAAAATATTTTTCAAAAAAGTATATAAATATTTTAAAATTTTTGCTGTTAGAATACACCATTTAACTATCATAGATGATTATTTTACAATAATAAGATATATATATATTGTGAGTAGAGAAAATCAAGAAGTAAAAAATAGCATTGTTTAGGTTATCAAATGAATGATTGATTGGAGAAAATGAATGGACCAGAAATAGTATTGTGTTGGCTGTTAATTCAAATAAATGACTGTTGAAATTATGTAATATTTATTGCATATGTGGTGATATGTATTTGTACATAAATTGCTATCCTTATTATGTCTAGTTATTTGAAATCACTCATATTAAAAATTAGTTTCACTATTATCATTTATTTATTTTTTGTCATTGTTATAGTACTGGAGAATCACTGAGAAGTGATGGGTGTCAATGTCAGTGACAATGATGGTAAGGCGACAACAAAATTCATATCGTTGATAAAAGATAATAGTGATCAAAAGATGATAGTCAAGAAGCAATAATAGAGCAATGGTCATTAGGAGATGATAGCCAGGTTAAAATAATTGCTACTAATGATCACTTTTATTTTTTTAGATTTAAAAGTTATATCCAATTATATGTCATTCGAGCGTTGAATGAGAAGTCAATTATTTATAATATTCTTGAAGAAAATTTTGGTGATTTTAGCAACACTCTTCAATTACTCATTTGGATGATTGATTTGATATTATTTAGGCATATAAGTGTCTTAATAAGATTGAAATCTAGCTTGAACTCGATGGATTTCTCATTTACCCATTTTAGTTGCAAGCGCAACAACAACAACATCAAGCCTTTTTCCCACTACGTATGGCTACATGAATCCTTTTTCTCCATTGTGTC